TTTCTATCCCCATAGCACTTCTCTCTGTATTCTAAAACTTGCCAGTCTGCCTCCTCTCAGTTCCTGACCCATGTGTCTGTCTCCCCTACCTGTCCATGACCTTCCAGAGGACTGGCTTGATAGTTTTGTGCCCCATGGTACATCATTCTGTTCGATAAGGAGTGACTGACTACCTGTGTGCCAGGGATGTGCTAGAGACTGGGGATGGCAGGCAAGACTTCACTCTCTTGAAGCTCACTGGCAAAAGGGGGATTCTGGGGAGTGAGCAGACAATTCAGAGGGTGAAGAGTGTATGGGCTGAGGAAGCCTCTAAGAGGGGTGCCTACCAGGGCAGTACAGGGGGAGAGAGTGGGAAGGGGCTGGGGAAAGCCCCCAGAAATCTGAAGTAGAGGCAGTCCAATGAAGGGTTGGGAGAAAGTACACTTCTGGCCAAGGTCACAGCTTTCATGTAAAAGCTTCAAGGCAAGAGACAGCATGGAGGATTTGAGAAACAGAAGAAATTCAAGGTGATGGAGCATCATCAAAGGGAAATGAGATGGAGAGAAAGGTGTGGTCAGAAATGTTGGGTTTGGTAGCACAGCCTTACGGTCAGGAGTAGATGTGGGCTTTAAACCTGTTTCCTCATCTACAAAGCAGGGATTAAAAAAACCTACTTCAGGGGTGCCTGGGGGGGCACCCGGGTGGCTCAGTTGGTTAGGCATCTGACTTCGGCTCAGGTCATGACCTCACTGTTCTTGGGTTCAAGCCCCACATCAGGCTCTGTGCTGACAGCTCAGAGCCTGGAGCCTGCTTCAGATTCTGTGTCTTCCTTTCTGCCCCTTCCCCACTTGTACTCTGTCTCTCATAAATAAATATTTTTAAAAAATTTTTTTAAAAACCTACTTCAGGTTGCTGTGAGAATTCATGGAGGTAATAAGCACAAAATGCTTGGTGCTTCGTCAGGCTCAAAAAATGGTAGTTAGTATATTTGGGGAAAAGGAGAAAGCCATGGAGACATTTTAAGAGGTGGTTCTGACAAGTGTGAAACTGTGTTTTACCAGGATAACTGAGGCAGGCAGCAGTAAGGGAAGGACATGAGGGGCAGCCAGACTCATCAGCTGCTGCAATACCTTGGGATATTTGCCTCTGTCTTTGCACTATTTCAGGGACCATTTTACCATCTTCAAGAGTCTGACATTAAAAATGCAAAAACAAAAGAGAAAAGTTCCCAAGACAATTCCTATCCACGCAGTTTCTACCTTCCAGCACCCCACAGTTACTCCTTGGGCCAGGAATGTGGGGTCTAGGTTGGACTGCACATACTATCTCCCAGACAGATAAACCCACTGCCTGCCACCTCTGATATGGGTAACATCTTGACTAGCCCCTCTCAGCCTGTTAGCTGCAGCCAATCAGAAGGCACCAGGCCAGTTGTGCATGTGGCTGCAACTGGAGCTGAGCAGAGCCTGGCATCAGAAAAGAGTTGACCAGTTCTACCTTGTGTGTTTGGGCAGTTACCAGCCAAGTCCCTTTAAGAGTAACTTGAAGGGAGAAGAATTGCAAGGTCTTCAGATATTCTAAGGAAGATGAAGAAAGAGGACTGCACCCAAGTTGTGCAGCGACAAGTTCAGTGAATGAAAGGAGCCATTCGTTCGCCCATCACATGTTTCCTCAGCTCCTACCATTTATGTGACGCAGTGTTTTAGGTGCTTGAGGAGCAAGAAGGGCCCAGAGTGAATAAAACAAAGTCCCTGACCTCAAGGAACTTAATGGAGATGATAGTAAGTGCTATAAAATATGTAAGTATCGAGGCACCTGGGTAGCTCAGTCGGTGAAGTGTCCGACTTCGGCTCAGGTCATTATCTCACGGTTCGTGGTTTTGAGCCCCACATCAGGCTCTGTGCTGACAGCTAGCTCAGAGTCTGGAGCCAGCTTCTGATTCTGTGTCTCCCTCTCTCTCTTACCCTCTCCTGCTCACACTGCCCCCTCCCTCAGAAATAAATAAAACATTTAAAAAATTTTTTAAAAATATATACAAGTATCATAAGAGTGATGTAGAATGGGAGGGGATACACTTTCAGGAAATATGATCTAGGAAGGCAAAAATCTGAATAAAATGACTTAGGGAACATGTACAAATGTGGGAGAAGAGCATTCTGGGCACTGGAGACAGCAAATCAAATGAATGTATGCTAAGGTGGGAGCATGCTTGGTCTGTTCAAGGAACTGCAAAAGGTGAGTGTGTAAATTTTATTCAAATTGCTTCTATCTCCTCAGTGAAATGCAAAAGCAAAGCTATCAGCTGACGATGAGAAGGGAGAAGACACTGGAATTTTAAGATGTTATATGACCTTGGAAATTGCTTATGAATTAGGAATTTTCTATAACACTTTTTGAGCAAAGTTCTCCCAGAAGGAAATGTAAAGATGAGGTCTCCATCACTGCAAGAGGGCGGAGCACAACAGAGAATTTGTCAAAAATAATTTTTAATGTTTATTTTTGAAAGAGAGAGAGAAATGCAAGCAGGCTCCAGGTTCTGAGCTGTCAGCACAGAGCCTGACGCAGGGCTCGAACCCGCAAATTGTGCAACCATGGCCTGAGCTAGAGTTGGACACTTAACAGACTGAGCCACCCAGGTGCCCCACAACAGTGGATTCTTTAATCTGCTTGGATCAATCCTCTTAATTCTCAGGAAGCCTTACCAACACTGGGATTCTGTAATGAGATGCTAAAGAAATAACACACAATAAATGATTCGCCTCTCGCTTCTAAACAAAGAAAATGTGTAGGAGAGTGTTTTTCTCAAGGAACTGTGAAACCTAACAAGCAGAAACATACCTGCAAGGCAGAATGCTCCTCAAATATAAGACTACATGTATGGAATTCAGTGTTGTAGAAGCCCAAGAACTGGAAAAAGCCAGGCAGGGACACTGGATGCTGCTTTTCCTTTGTAGAAAGGAAAAACATCCTCAGAAATCATGCTTCTTCCTGGGACATGTCAGTGTGATGTTTGAGAGCCATGTTTTCAGTCATTCTTTCACTAGCTGCCATCATCTCACTAGAGAACTGAGAATAGAAGACTCATAGCTTAACCTCATGTACAGCTGGGAGGATATGTGATAAAAGGCAAGACCTTTTTTTTTCTTTTACAGCAAATGAATGTACTCCACCACATTTACACTCTCCCTTGTAGTGTCATTAGTAAGTGGAGCTCTTACTCCAAACAGGTTGCTAATATTTGAAGCGTCTTATGACTTGAATTTATAACTGCTCCCCCCGCTCCCCACCAAATGAAAAAGTAAGCTGCAATATTTAAAAATCACACCTAAAATACTTGCTCAGCAACCCTGCCCCACTTAAGTGGGTATGACTCAGATCTGAATGAATATTGGCTATTTCCAAATACCAAATAACCTCAAAGAGATGATTTGCTGCCACTGAATAAATTTTAAAAGATTCATTGCAGGCTCAGAAGGTCACCCAAAGGTGGAGGCCAATACACATTCTGATCACAAGAGAGTCCTCAGAAAATGGTGAAACCTCGTAACACTGTAGGTAAAATTTTAACTTCTTACTAAGCCGTAAGAATAAAATAACAGGGGCACCTGGCTGGCTCAGCTGGAAGAGCCTGCTACTCTTGATCTTGGGGTTGTTAAGTTTTCGAGCCCCACGTTGGGTGCAGAGCTTACTTAAAGATAAAATAATAAAAAAAGAATAATAGCCTTGAGAGTTATTTGAAAGATTTTCCAAAAAAAAAATTTATTTTCATAAATTAACACACATAACAGTGGGAATTTAGAGTCACAAACTACCAAACAGAAGGAACTGCAGGGGCATCATGTATGCCAATGTTACCAAAATGTACAAATTTCACTGAACTATTGACCATGATAATATATAAACACTTCAGGCAGCTATTTACTGGCCCAGACCAGCCCAAGGAGGTGCTAAGGACTCTCACCAAGAATTCAAATCCAACTTAGCACCAGGGAGGGTCTTGTGAAGACACACAATGAATAAGCATCAAATCTGAGAATATGCTGTGCTAGATGGTGGGCTATATGGGGACCCTTATTTTATAATCAAATTAGTGTTTGCTGCTCAATTTGTGGTTAGATGATCTCAAACTTTGATTTTTGTAAAATTAAGTCTTCCTCTGCAGCCAGCTTTTTATCAAGAAGTGCAGTTGTGGTAAGGAGCCCTTCCTTTGCATCAATCCAGGAAAGGCTACTCCATACCTCTGGCCAATTATTTAGACTTTGGATACAGCCACCCAACAATGTGGTGTTTAAGAGGTCCTTTCCATGATACCAGGGGAAAAGCTCCCATAAACAAAACAGAAACAAAACAAGAGAATTAAAAGAAAGCACCAACTGCATACTTCTCCCCAAGGTAATGGGAGAAAAAGCATCACTGACTAAAAGTTGGTCTTTTGCGGACCTTAATGTACATGGTCTCAGGAGATGGAATCCCAGCCTGGGGACCAACCGCCAGCTATGCTTTCCCTTAGGCTGCACCAGAGCCTTGGCATTGCCACCCCAGTCCTGCACACTCCATGCTGCTCTTGGTCTGGTGGGCAGGGAGTGAGCCCTGTGGGGAGGGATCATGTCCAGATAGTAGGATCTGGAATTCACCTCAGGTTGGCTCTGGCACCCACGCAAAAGACCCTTTCAGGCAAAACTGTGACAAAATGTCATGATTTTCACAGCTCTTAAAGGAGCGCTGAGTTTTGGGATTCACAGCATGAGTTTCTAAACTCTTCAGGCTCCAAGTAAGGCAAACGCTACCTGTCTTTCCACTGTACCTCCCTCAGCTGTAGCTCTTATTAGAATAAGGTCAGTAAGAAAAAGTGGACATAATCTGTTTTAATAGGTGTGATGAGGTACATTTAAACTAACGAAGAAAATGAAGCTGGAAAGGTGATCAAAAGAGAAGAGAAGGAGAAAGGGGGCAGGAAGCAGATGAGGGGCAAATATAGCTATAAAAAGAAAAAAGAAAAGAAAAGAAAAGAAGAGAGAAGAGAAAAGAAAAGAAAAGAAAAGAAAAGAAAAGAGAAAAAAGAAAAGAAAAGAAAAGAAAAGAAAAAACCATAGTTGAAGTTTCAGTGAAAATATGATAGGCAGAACCCTGATTGGACCTGAGATTTCTCCTCTCTTTCCCATATTAAGAACACTAAACTTCTAGGGCGCCTGGGTGGCTCAGTCGGTTAAGAACACTAAACCTCTGGAGTTGAGTTATAGCTGAGTAAATCATAGTTAACTGTAACTTCCCACCATTTGGGGTGGGAAGTCCCCATACTCAGAAATTCTACCAACCCCCACCCCAGAAGGAAACCTCCTGTAGCTCTGGGCAAGTGGTGTGTCAGCAGCTGACTAACACTTCTCATTGTGGGCAGGTTCCACAGGCTCCAAGGACCACAGGTAGCCTTGCAGCTGGCCAGGCCAACGGTGAAAATGGATGCAAAGACATGTGGCTGAGCAAGGCTAGAACTTGATGTATCGACCTCAGGTAAGCAATTTCAAGTTTGCAACAGGGGCCCCTTAACTTTGGAGCAGGCGAAGGCTGTGAGCCAGAGGGCAGGCCAAGAATTTCAGGGATAGGCAGGGCTGCCTCAGAGCTGCTTCTCTTCCACACTGCCAGGACAAGGAGGGAGCCCAGGCCTCCACTTTCTCCATGCCTCCCATATTCCAAATCACTGCTCCTGGCTCTTAGAAATACCATGCCTATGTATAAGGGCAAACTTGAAATTGTATCTCTGTAATGGTGGTGATGCCACAGCTGTGCCCGTTCAACTTCAGTCTGCTGGACGACATAGGCTGCCGCACTGCTGACTCTTCTACATCAGCAACAGAGCTGGCAAACAGGGCTCTGTTGAGTTGCTGGGAGTTTGTAAGCTGTCCAGCAGCACTGCCTAAATATGCTTGTCAGAGAGTACAATGGAATACTAATCCCCACTCCCTTAGGCGAAAAGACAGAGAGAAGCATTCAGTGTCTAAGGACCCTGTCCCAGGACGGAAGAGGTACTGAGGTGAAACACAGGTCGTGTCTATATAGTCTGGGTAAAGCAGGTGTAGAACAGCAGAATCTGGTTCACATTCCAAGCCAGTGTGGAAATGTGGCTCTCTTCAATGCTATTTGGCATGGCCTTAGAAGTCTCTATGGGTTACCAGATATGTATTTCACTTACTAAATGCTATGTCTGAGGCAGTGGGCCTACAAGACAGATGTGGCACTTTTTTTTTTCTTGCTCATGTCAGTTCTTCTGCTCCAGTGTGGCACAGACTGTCAACCTGCAAAGGAAAGGCACATAGAGATCCCCTGCCCCCACCCATCGCCCCACCTACTCACAAGTGGGGAGACAAAGGAACCCTAGGAGACACACCAGGACGGCACCACTCACTCTTCTCTAACAGATTGACTTTGACAATATCTCTGGAGCTCTGACAGTCTCCTTGGGTGGCTGCTTCCTAGCAGTGGCTCATAGGAGAATGGGAAGAGGTGGACCAGTGTCCTGAGGCTGGGTGTAGCATCTCACTCAACAGCCAAGGAATGTTAATCCTCTGAATTTTTGTAATGAGAGCAAGAGAGAAAGAAAAATAAAACACAGGGGAAGGGGAGGTGGGGAGGGGAGCAGGGCAAGGGCACACAGGAGTTAAGTGGAAAATGAATGACACCTCTGGGCCTGGCCAACCCACACAGCATCCTTCTGCCTACAGACTCAAGCAGGCACAGATGAAGGAACTCTGCCAACTCTGGCACTCTACAAAATTTCCAGTAGGTTTGACACAGGAGCCCAGAGTACAATGGTGTCCTCAGAGAGGGATGGCCGTGGAATTTCACGATCTTCCTGCAAGGATGCATCACTGGGTCTAAACCACGTGCCGTCTCACTCCCCACTCTTGAGCAAGTTGCTCTGACAGCTGCAAACCCTCTGGGTCGGTTTTATCACCACCTGAGCCGTCGTACCCAACTTTGTTACAGACTACCACTTCAGATAGAATCCACTAAGACCACACCCAAGCTTCACATTGTTTTAAATGAGTGGGAGGAAAACTTGCTCTTACTTCCACCGTTAAAATAAACAGATGTACTTAGTGGGCAAGAAAGAATGCAGATGAAAAAGTACTCCCTCTAATGAGTTTTGCTGGAAGGTGATGGGGAAAGGGCTGCTTGAAACACATAATGGGAAAATGTCGCTCCATTGTCCCATACCATGCATTGATATACTGGGTCAAATGCCTGTCATATATTTTGAAGACGTTATTGTCTTTCTCCTTGATGTCTTAATTTTGTTTTAAAATCACATTTAAAGGCTCCAAACATGCAGCAATAATACAAAAAAAAAAAAAAAGGAAATAAAAACAAATGAAAATAACAGCACAACATTAAAAAGTGCAACTTACTTTGATGGGGCCTGGACGGGCTCCTCTGGCACTAGTGACCCACAGTCACAGAAGGAAGAAAATGATGGGGGAAAGCCACACATGCCCACACCCACACGCAACCACACACACACACGCACACACGATTCTGGGTAGACAGACTCAAAGGATTAGGAAACACAACAGCTCATCTTTCCTCAGCTACTGAAATGAGCTGGTGAGACCACAAAGGACAGGACACCAGGTCCCCCTCCCTAGGCCACGACTCTAAATAATCTTGGTCTAGCACCACCGTAAACAACGCAGAACTTTCACATGGGCGTGCAAATGCTATGAGTCCTTGGAATCCTAGTGTTACTGAAGGTATGCTGAGTCCTCCTCCTGTGGATGGTGAGTGGGAGGAGGCGGCCAGGTGGTTTTCAGGACCATTTCCAGGAGAAAGGGAGCATTCCTGAGGTTCAATACTCAGCAGTAGAAGTAGAGGACCCTCCTTCACCAATTCCTAAAAAGGTTGCACCTTAAAATAGGTAAAATCCACAGACTGCATTTTGAGGAGTTTGGGCAGTAGGGCAAAATTAGGCAACCTCTTCCAAGAAGCCTGGAAAATCTAAAATTGAGACCCCTAAACCAAACTGCTTCTCAACAACCAGACGATTGCTCCTGCTCCTCCTCTTCCTTGGCAAAAAAGGTCTCCAACTCCATTAGTTTCTGTATCAACAGAGCATCCAGCTCTCGACTCTGCAGAGCTGCCTTCTGGGCCCTGGTAAAGCTGCCTGCCACCTTGACCTTACCACGAGCTCTCCTCTTTCGTGGGACTGTAAAATCCTGAAATTCTAGAACTCGTTTTCTCTTCTGTTGGCTGATTGAGATTAGCGTACCATTTCGTTCCTTAGGTTCCTCAAAGATGGTCTCCAAACACCTGAGGGTGGAGTACAAAAAAGAATCACCAATACAGTGACTCACACATGGCCCATCTCCTGGGTCACCAACCCTTCTGGTCAACTGAGGCTGAAACAACTCATGACTACTTACTCGACTGCTTTCTCTGGCCAGTATCTTTTTTTGTATGAAGATATATATGTATTTATGGATACGTAATATATGAACACCCAGTGAAAAAACTGAAACTGAGCAAAAGGGTAAGGAATAAAAGACCAGCCCCCATAGGCAACACCAGCTAATTTTTTTATGTATTCACAAAGTCATTCAATCAGAGACATGCATAAATAATCGTGTATTACCAAAGATCAGCCCTTTTGTGTAAAGGGACAGATAGGAAACATTTTAAAATTAATGAGCACACAGGACTCAATTACATTTTTTATTTTTAAACAACCTTTAAAAACACAGAAACCATTTTTTTCCCTTCCTTTTAACAAAAAAAGAAAAAGAAACAGGCCACTCACTGAATGTGGCCTATAGTCTGCTGACCCATGGCATATATCTCCCACTTTGGTTTTCTTCCTGTACTCAACTGGTAGCAAACCACATATACGGTCTTATACACTGTGCCTCTCTGACCTAACTTTTAAGATTATTCTAATTCAGAAAACAGGTATCTGATTCATTCCTTATAATGGCTACAGTGTATTCCACTATAAGGTTGAATTATAATTTAAATAATTTGTTTCCAATTGTTTCTTATGATTTAGCAATGCTGCAATGAATGATCTTACAAAAAGGTCTTAGAGCAAGTGTTCACTTTACAGGATAAAATCCTAGAACTCTCCTGCTACCATCTGGACACAATAAGAATTTAATAAATGTTCCCTGTCTTGAACTGAATTCAGATTTCAAAGGTAGCCAAGTGAAACTCTGTTTGTATTGGGATTTGGAATCATCTCTGAAGATCAATGATTACTAGTCGAGAAGACAGCTGGGTTTTTGCTAAAAATACAAGTACAAACTGAAAGGAGATGATGTTTTCTGTACTCACCAAACTCAACACACATTTCTGTCCCATCCTACCACCAACCCCAGTTCAAGCACTGGGAACTAAAAATATCAATTCTAGTTATTTCCAATAACTTCCTTTCTGAAGTGAATAGATTAGAGATTTAACATCGATCATTTCAGAAGCTTTCCCAGTGTATTAACTCCTATTCATGTACCTACCTGTTTGCAGGAGGAGACTTATAATTCTTGTTGGTATATATTTCTTCTAAACTAAACTCTTTTTTCTTTAACCTGAAAAAAGAATGAAATAAATTCTTTATACTCTCTTAAGAGAGGTAAGATTGGCTTCTGAACTTTTTTTTTTTTTAAATGTTTTATTTATTTCTAGGAGAGAGAGAGACAGCGTGAGCAGGGGAGGGTCAGAGAGAGAGGGAGTCACAGACTGAACAGGCTCCAGGCTCTGAGCTGGCAATCAGCTCAGAGCCCGACGCGGGGCTCGAACCCACGAACCGCGAGATCATGACCTAAGTGAAAGTCGGACGCTTAACCGACTAAGCCACCCAGGCGCCCCGATTGGCTTCTGAACTTGATGGGTCCATTTTCTTTCAGCCTCTCTGGATTGAGATTGATATTTTTTAATGTTTATTTATTTTTCAGACAGAGCAAGAGAGTGTGAGCAAGCACAAGCAGGAGAGGGGAAGAGAGAGAGGGAGACCAAGGATCCCAAGTGGGCTCTACACCAACAGCAAAGAGCCTGACGTGGGGCTTGATCCCACAAACTGTGAGATCATAACCTGAGCCGAAGCTGGACACCTGACTGATTGAGCCATCCAGGCGCCCCTGTAATGAGTTTTAGATGTGTCTCATGAGCAAAACACGTACTAGATTTTCTTTTCTAGGCTGCCAATCTTCAGCTTTATGAAATTTAATCCAATTATACTTACTGACAATGATATAGCAATATTTATTTTTTTATTTTTTTTTTATTTCTAGGAGAGAGAGAGAGACAGCATGAGCAGGGGACGGTCAGAGAGAGGGAGACACAGACTCTGAAATAGGCTCCAGGCTCTGAGCTGGTAGTCAGCACAGAGCCCAACGCGGGGCTCGAACCCACGAACCGCGAGATCATGACCCAAGCAAAAGTCGGATGCTTAACCGACTAAGCCACCCAAGCGCCCCAATATAGCAGTATTTATATCTACCATATTTTATATTTTCTTTTATCTTTTCAATGTTTCTTTTCTTCTCCTTAACTGACTAGTCACTTTCTCTCTTTTATCCCCCTTTCCTGGCTTGGAAATTATACATTCCTCTTCAGTGGTTGGCAAGATTTTTAAGAAGTTTACTTAACTTGGAAACAGGAGCACGTTAATATTTTTACCCTTCTCTCAAACACAAGTCCCTGGAACTTTTAATTCTAATTAATACCATCTCATGTATTACTAGTGATCTATTTTGTCTTTTTTATTTTGTCATTTATTTGGTGAAGAAACCAGGTTGTCTGACCTGTAGCTTCCCCAGTCTAGATTATGACTACACCCACAAAATGTCATTTAACCCGTTCTTGTGACCCAAACATAAGGAAGATACTATAGGTGTTTCCTACAGATTGACAATTAGATATAGAGGCATAATCAGTTATAGGTGTTTTGATAGGAAGATTTTAATTTTCTTATTTTTGTTATTATTATTCTTTAATGTTTGTTTATTTTTGAGAGAGAGAGAGAGACAGAGCATGGGCAGGGAAGGGGCAGAGAAAGAGGGAGACACAGAATCCAAAGCAGGTTCCAGGCTCTGAGCTGTAAGCACAGAGCCTGATGCGGGGCCTGAACCCATGAACCATGAGATCATGACCTGAGCCTAAATTGGTTGCTTAACTGACTGAGCCACCTAGGCACCCCAAAAGGAAGAGTTTTAGATGGTGGTGTATACTTTCATCATGAGGAGCAGGATACCTGTTGTTGACCTTTTTAAAATATTACTAGCCAGTGAAGAACTTTGTATTTATTACTTCTTTAGGGTCATACTTAATTACAGTCTTGCACTCCTCAATTCATTTGGCAGAATTCTTCTATCTAAACTGAAACTTCAGGCTCAACAATTCTTAGTAACCCTGTGATACCTTATGCACAGGAAAAACAACTCATGCTTGGTTCTTTCTCTTTATTTACTGATTTCTAAACAATTACTTGGTTCTCCAATCTCATCCAAATATGGCCAATGGATTGTTTTAAAAAGGTCATTATAAACTTCCCCATTTAAACATTATTTCTTGTGCTTCAATCTGTTGTAGTTATTATTTCTTCTGATGCTCTGCTTCATCTGTGGCCAGTGGGAGTTCCAAATTGGTTTCTGAGTCTCTATGACATGATTTTAGTAGTCTTCGGGAGCTTCATCACTTTCTGGTAGGACAAGATATTCTACACCCCATCTTGTGCATTTCCTGCTATAGACCTTTGATCAGTCCTCAATGAGTCTTGGTTCACATACCATAAAATTTACCCCTTTATTTATTTGGTTATGAGTATACTCAATTCATTTGTTTATTATTCATCGTTGCTACAATGTGGAAGATAATAGCTTCAACCCTTAGGTCACTACATTCATCTCAGTAGTAACTTACTGTGATAACTTTTATATTAACTATTAATAGTATTAATTTATCACTACAAAGTTTCTATATTTTAAACTTGTTTCATTCAGATAAGAAGAGCAGAGTCTGCAAAGCATGTTAATTAACTTTTTGGCACTGTTTTAGTTTCTTTCTGAAAATCATAATTGAGATTCGGTTTGGTTCAATTACAATTCAGCAGAGAACACGCTTGTGGAAAATTTACATAAATAATAATAAGTATACAATTTCTTCATAGCGATTTAGCACTGGCATTCCAAAAGAGGACAGATACTTTGGTTCTTAACAGTAGCAACTGCTACATTAAAGATGTTGGATGGGCAGTTGGAGAGTGAAAGATGAGCCTCCCCAACAGTCATTCTGACTTGCAAATCAGGGGAGTATGTATCTACATTGTTTCTGAGCTGAGGTGAAGATCCATAAGCAGAGATCAGATTCTGGAATTCCTGGCCTCTCACCAAACTTTGGCTTCTTCAGCGAGGCTACACTCACTGGAAATGAACAGGCTGTCTCAAAAGCACAGACACTTTCTATGGAGAGCCCACCTTGCCTAGAGTGGTTTTAGAGAAAGTCTTATCTGGTGTGTCCTCTCTCCCTCATCATTTGATTTGTTTTTATAATTTCCATCATGAGGAAGGCAGTTTCAGAACACTGAAAACTCCTTGCATAAGGTGTGCTCTTGAGCCAGAGATGTGCTGATATATACACTAAGGAGAATATAGCAACAGTTTTTCAAGGTATCTGTTTTCTGGACTAGAAAATGACCAGGGGACACTTAATACCTAAGATTACCAAACTGCTTCTTGAATAACAATGACTTTTATACTCTCAGGTGGAGAGAACAAGTCTATAAATATGGCCAAAGAGAAAACATCAGGCATTTGGGGATGGGTTCAAATTCTGATTTTAAGCAAGCATGTCTCTCATTTATAACTGTTTATAGAAGACATGGCTGCAGAAGTGGTCTCTATAAAACAAAGAACTCTTAAGGAATTTCCATTCCTCTGAAACTTCTACTATTTTATACAAATGGCAGCACTCTATAGACAATTTCAGCTCTAGTATAACATTATCTTAAGACACTGATTATACAAACATATAAAGCAGTGCATCTTATTTTGTGTGTGTTACATGTGTTTTTAATTTGAGAGAGAGAGAGAGAGAGAGCACGTGAGAGTAGGAGAGAATCGTAAGCAGGCTCTACACTCCATGGAGAGCCCAACACAGGGCTCAGTCCCACAACCCTGGGATTATGACTTGAGCCGAAATCAAGAGTCTGCCTGGATTTCTCTCTCCCTCTCTCTCTGCTCCTCATCCGCTTATGTGTTCTCACTCTCTCAAAATAAATAAATAAGCTTAAAAAAAAAAAAAAAGAAATTTCCTATGGCCAGGGGCGGTCAGTTAGCTGGCTCAGTCAGTGTAGCATGTGACTCTTGATCTCAGGGCTGAGTTCAAGCCCCACATTGAAGTTGGAGTTTACATAAAAAAACAAAATTCCTATGGTTTACTCAAGTATTTTTACAAGTCTGATTTGCTTCTACTTAAATCTGATTCATTGGAATTTCTTATGGTGAAAGGTCTGAGGTACAGATCCAACTTTATTACTCTTAAAATGGCTACCCAGTTGCCCCAATAGCACTTTACTGAACAGTGCATCTTTTTACCACTGATTTGAGGGGACACCTTTGTTATATTCTAAATTTCTCTATGTGTTCAGGTCTATTTCTGGACTTTCTACTTTGTTTTACCAATCTGTATGTTTCTGCTGCGGCATCACTCTGTTCTATTTAATTGGACTTTATATATATTATATATATATATATTTAAATGTTTATTTTTGAGAGAGTAAAAGAGAGACAGACAGACAGACACAGAATCAGAGCAGGCTCTGAGCTGTCAGTGCAGAGCTCGATGTGGGGCTCGAACCCATGAACCACGAGACTATGACCTGAAGTCAGAAGCATAAACAACTGAGCCAGCCAGGTGTCCCTGACTTTATATATATACACACAGGACTATCAAACATTTGAAGATGAAGGGTGTAAAACCCACATACAAAAATTTTAAGTAATTTCCTAGTTAAAGGATAAACTTTTAACAAATTATATAAATATTTAATTCAATTATTTAATCCTTATTATTATTTCATCTTATAAAATAATTTCTACTCCTGGATACTGCCATGCCAGTTGGTTTCACAATACACTTTTCTCCTACGTTAAATATTGAAGCAATCCTAAGATTTACACAAATAGCTTTATTCCTGATTTTTTATGACTCTTAATTATTCTTACAAGTCCAATAACAGTTTGTTTCAAGGTTGCATACACATTTACTGAGGCAATATCATGCTTTCTACCATACTCTTCACTTTGTAGTTTATTATTCTCGCTACACATTACACTGGTTTGTTACAAATTCAGTAATGAGAAACAGCATTATCAGGTTGTTTTAATAATGCATTTTTGTTAATTTTAATTTATTTAATTTTAATAATGCATATTTGTTACATACGCTTTTAATTTTGACTTATGACTTTCACAAATCTATCTTATAAGATGTGTTCCATAATTTATTTCTCTATCAATGGTTTATATAATTTTCTTAAAGGTGCAAATCAACACATTTACTTGAGCTGGAAAACAAAAGATAGGAAGAATGATTTAGCTGATGGGCTTGAATAACAAAAATTGTTTTTGCCAACTAAGTTAATATGGGGTTGGGGAATGTGGAATGGGTGAAGGGGAGTAGGAGATACAGGCCTCCAGTTACGGAATAAATAAGTCACAAGAATAAAAGGTACAGCACAGGGAATTAAAGTCCATGGCACTATAATAGCACTATATAGTGACAGATGGTAGCTACACTTGTGGTGAGCAACAACATAATGTACAGACCTACTGAATCACTATGTTGTATACCTGAAACTAATGTAACATTGTGTCAAGTGTATATATTTGAAAAGTTTTTATTTATTTTGAGAGCGAGTGTGAGTGGGGGAGGGGAGAGAATCCCAAGCAGTTTCTACACTGCTAGTGCAAAGCCTGACTCAGGGCTCAAACTCATGAACCATGAGATCATGGTTCCAACTGATCCACCCAGGCAACTCCACTGTGTCAAGTATATTTAAACAAAAAGAAGTAAAAAAGTTAAATGTCAAGGCTTTTTTGATAAATATAATGCACTAAATCTATAACTTGAAGATTTTTTGACAAAAGAGTATCTGAATAAAGGCATTTTATCAAAATATATCTTAGGCAAAGGTTTAATTAAAAATCTTATTCAGCCCCTTTCACTATATTAGATTAAATAAAGTATCTCTAAGTGAAAGACTAACGTAAGATTATTAGGCATTTGACACTTACTGGTTAGATCTTTTTGGTGTACTGCCATACAATGAGATACTCGCTGCTTCAATGCCTTCACAGACCTATATGAGTCAGCACTTTTTAATCCTTTGCTTTCAAAAAAATTAGGTGATAAATCATTAAATATAATTTGTTGATAGATCATTGTGTGATTTTTTGGCATCACACTTGAAAGAAGTTCAAAGGACTGAATGTCATTACTGTATTAAAACTTTCTCCACTCCCAACAACATACTTATATGTAAAAGACTTTTTAGAAGTTAAATCTACATATAAATGCAAGATTCTGAATCCTATATCATTCACTACTAATAAGTACTATTCAACCTGAGATATCTGAAATATTTTAAACATTTCTCTTATAAAGACTTGGTAGGATGATCAATAAAAGAACTGTGAGATAAAAATATATTAAGACAAAACCATGTGGGAAAACTGGAATGTCAATTATGATCATAGTAACTATTGCATTTGTGCTGGTGAAGCAATACAATTGGTACCAGGACACATTTTTTCCTTTTCCTTTTTTTTTTTAAATTAGGGGCTTGAATTTACAACCCTGAGATCAAGAGCTGCAGGCCCTACCACTGAGCCAGTCAGGTGCCCCCACATTTTTTACTCAATTGGACTGTACAGTAATCCTAAGTGTTGGGAATTCTTACTCACATTTTACAGATGTGTTCTTGACACTCAGGGAATTTCAGTAAATTACCCTGGGGTTACTTAAGGGACCACTGTTAGGATTCCATTTGCCAAAAAGACATGAAGGAGTGAAATCCACCACAAGAAAATATAACTCTGGAGATCTTTTTAAAATATTTATAATTTCACAGTGTGTTTGTGTAGTATATATTACAGCAAATACATAATTTGGTAATTTTTTTCTTTCCACTTCTCTTTATAGGGTTAGCAATTATCTCTGTCATAAAAAATAAATCTTTAGAAGCCAAGTTTTTAAAGTTCATGATGGAGACCATAGCATGGATTTGGCATTTTCTTAAAAAAAAAAAAATTAAACTTCTTTTCCTCATGACCTTCAGGTCCCTCTTAAACTTTGTACATAGAATGCTGTGAGCTTGGGCTGTAGGGTCGGGAAAAACCTGTGCAAGACGGAAACCACCTGTGCCATGACTGATACCATGGCCTAACACAGGTGTCATAACCACTCAGCCTCAGCACCCTCATCTAAACCTGAGGGTGATGATAGTGCTTACCTCCCAACACCACTGGGGGATGACCAGACTATCTATACAAAGGGACAGCATAATATCTGGCATAGTGAACTTGATAAAAATGATTAAGAATGCATTACAATATCCCTGGCACATAAATCTCTGGCCATATTACCAATTAATTCTTTTGGATAAATTCTTAGAAGTATGATAAACAGCTCAGAGTATATAACCATTTAAAGGCTCATTATATCGTGCCATACAATTTTCCAAAAACATGAACCTATGTGTATTACAGAAGGAACTCACCTTTTGGGTCGAGGAAGGCCCATGGGGGTAAGATTAGGGTCTGGTTTAGGAATGGTTTTCCGGATACGAATTTGTGAGACTTTCTTTGGTCTCTTCTCTGGCTCAGCCTATTTTTAACCGTTAAGAAGAAAGATGGTTAAGTTATAAAACATTTTAAACACATGAAGCCTCTTTTCTTGACACTCAAGATTTTGCTGCTTCAGTTTACAGATGATGCTAATAAGTAGTTTATGACAAATCTACCCTTACTCCCGCTGACAGTGTTTTCAGCAACTGCTCCCTTTATATTATTGGAAGAGAATCACCCATTCAGCTCAGATATTGAGATTAACAATATGAAAGCCTATCAACTGCTGGAGACAGAGAGAGTTTGCAAAACTGAAGAACATCATTGTTCACTCATCTTTGAATGCATGAAGCACCTCATTGGTCCAACTCACTCTCTAAACCCTGTTAAATGCTATCATGAAGAAAAAAGGATCTGGAAAACAATGCAGATTAAGAGACCCAGAGTAGCCTTTCTGTGGCCAAGGAGAAAAACTCCTGTCTTGGTAATCTCTAGCACTCAGCTGAAGCTAACAGTGATAAGCAAAGACACTTAGAGGCCTGTGTACCCATCATGTGATCTGTGGTCCTCAATAGACACATCTAGTACCACTCCCAATTCTACCAGCACTTTACATTTACCTCCTTCTGTTCCGGAGGGCTGCTCTGTGGATGGGGGCATGCTGCTCCCACATCATCTAGCTCATCAAATCCAGGAACCGGGAACTCAGAGGCTGAAAGCAGGAGCTTGCTGACAGTTGAGTCTGTTACTAAGCAAGACTTTGGTACCAAGGCAGGGAATGGAGGCTCTAGTCTAGCACCATGGAGAGAAAAACAGAGAAGGAAAATATGAGATGGGTTTCACTTTCTACCTGGGCACTTTCAATTTCTTAACATCCGACTAAGGTTGAAGATCTTCTGTTTTTCCAGCAATGACATTTACAGTCAACCTGTTTTCTAGTTACTTCTGGACATAGCCTGTGTATACATGTATAAAAACTTACAAGAATAAAATCATTTTCAATGGTGTAGAGCAGTTTTACGAGGAAAAATGTAAAAAGACTTTTTGGAGGAAAAAGAAATTTAGTGAACTGAACAAATGGACTGTGCTCAGATGAGATCAACCCCACACAAGCAATGAAGTTAGCTGTACGATCAAGAAATAGATGGGGCGCCTGGGTGGCTCAGTCGGTTAGGCATCCGACTTTGGCTCAGGTCATGATCTCATGGTTGGTGACTTCGAGCCCCGCGTCAGGCTCTGTGTTAACAGCTAGCTCAGAGCCTGGAGCCTGTTTCAGATTCTGTGTCTCCCTCTCTCTGACCCTACCCTGCTCACGCTGCCTCTCTCTCTTTCTTTCTCTCTCTCAGAAATAGATAAAACACATAAAAAAAAAAAAAATAGCGTAGGGTGCCTAGGTGGCTCAGTCAGTTAAGCGTCCGTTATGTACCAGACACTACTGGATACTTACCTCATCTGACTGCCATTGGTGTTATAAGTAGCTTCCATGCCTGGAAGAGGCACATATGGTAACATGGTGTGGCTGAAGTGAAGCAAAAGTAGAGAAGCAATAGGTTAAGACAGTAGAACAACAGGAAGTTTTGATCCCACTATGTGTACTCAAAAGGTTTTGATGCCTTTGACAGCACATGATGTTCAATATGGCCCTTGGAAGATAAGAAATGTCATTCATTCAGAAAGAAGCACCCCCCTCCCCAACCTTGCAGTCATGAGAATTACATTTATGTGCCCATCACAGGAATGGAGGCAGGCAGACAGGAAGATTATTTTCTAACTTATATGGAAAGAAGGTAGAGAGAGAAATAAAGAAAGGACATTAAGAGAAAGAAGGGAATAAGAATGACTTGGAGTCTTATATCTTCTAATGAAGTTGTTGAATACATATATTAGAGATTTAAAAAATAATTTACATATTAAAAAATCTTGTATTATTCATCTCTATATTAATACTATTTTTAGGGGTGCCTGGGTGGCTCAGTCGGTTGAGCATCTGACTTCAGCTTAGGTCATGATCTCATGGTTCGTGCGTTCGAGCCCCACATCGGGCTCGGTGCTGACAGCTAGCTCAGAGCCTGGAGCCTGTTTCAGATTCTGTATCTCCCTCTCTCTCTGACCCTCCCCAACTCATGCTGTCTCTGTCTCTCTCTCTCAGAAATAAATTAAAAAAAATTTTTTTTTTTATTATTTTTAAAATTTTTAATGTTTATTTATTTTTGAAGGAGAGAGAAACAGAGCATGAACGGGGGAGGAAAAAGAAAGAGGGAGACACAGAATCTGAAGCAGGCTCCAGGCTCTGAGCTATCAGCACAGAGCCTGACACGGGGCTCAAACTCACAAACTGTGAGATTATAACCTGAGCTGAAGTTAGACGCCCAACTGACTGATCCACCCAGGTACCCCCCGAGATGAAACTTTTTTAAAGTTTATTTATTTTGAGAGAGCACAAGAGAGTAGGGGTGGGGGAGGAACAGAAAGAGGGGGAGAGAGAATCCCAAGCAGGCTCCGTGCAGTCAGTGCAGAGGCCAATTTAGGGCTCAAACTCATGAACTGTGAGATCATGATCTGAACTGAATCAAGAGTCACTTAACCGACTGGGCCACCCAGGTGCCCCAAAACTCTTTTCTTTAAAGCCAAGTTCCACATAAAACATGGTTATATAGAAGAAAACTATTAACAGGGTTAGCTCCTTTGTAATCAAGCTTTTATTTTTATTACTGAAGCAATGGTATTCGTCATTTATAGCTACATCAATACAAGATGCTGGAGAGGTTTTTTGTGCCTCTCAAAGTAAAACCTGCATCAGTTTCTACTGAATTTGGAACTCAGTACAGGTTTAATTAAGGAGGCATTTGTAGGACTACCATAATACAATCCATCTTCTCTTAGCAGATTTGCTCAAGGTCTAGAAAACACAGATAATTCAGATTTTTAGAATGTTTAGCACCAACTCAGGATTCCTTGAGGGGTGCTATTAAAGGAAAGAGGCAGGTTGGTATACTGGAAAACCAGCTGACCAAATCAGAAATCAGGAGACCCTGGGTCGAGATCTAGCTCAGCTGAAATACTAACCAGTTGGGTGATCTAGGTTAGAAAAAGCTATGTGTTTCAGGCTCATCATCTATAAGAACAGCAAAAAGAGAAGCCAGTTCAACCTATATTATAGAGTGCAGAAAGTTCAAATAAGCAAATTCTATGAGGGTGGGGGGGGAGGGGGCACCTGGCTACCTTTGTCAGTGGAATATGCGACTCTTGATCTTAGGGTCTGTGAGTTGGAGCCCCATGTTGGGTGTAGGTTACTTAAATATATAAAACTTCTAAAAAATTCTATGGAGGGCCTGGGTGGCTCAGTCATTAAGCATCTGATATCAGCTCAGGTCATGATCTCATGGTTTGTGAGTTTGAGTCCTACATCAGGTGAGCTTAAGCCCTGTTCTGAGTGAACTCATGCCCCAGTTCAGTGAGCATGAGCCCTGCTTCAGGTAAAATAAGAGCCCTGCTTTGGGTGAGCTCCTCTCCTCTCTCTCTCCCCCCCTCCATCCCTCCCTCTGCTCCTCCTGGGATTCTTTTTCTCTGTCTCTCGTTCACTTGTGCCCCACCTCCAGCCAAATCTATGGAAACATAAATTAATTTAATATTTGTTAAGTCCTGCTTTCTGGGTTACCCAATTTATCATGCTTAACATTCTTTAAAAGTTTATTTATGGGGGGGGGGAGCAAGCAAGCACAAGTGGGGAAAGAACAGAGAGAGAGGGAGAGAGAGGAGAAGAGAGAGGAGGAGGGGGGTGTGAGAGAGAGAGACAGACAGAGAAAGAGAGAATGGAGTTCCAAGCAGGCTCTGCACTGTCAGTACAGACTTCGATGTAGGGCTCGAACTCACAAACCGTGAGATCATGACCTGAGCTGAAGTCAAGAGATGGATGCTTAATCTGCTGAGCCATGCAGTCATGTTTAACATTTCTAAAATGTGTTTAGAAAAACAGCAAAGTTCTAAACTCAAAGCCACGGCATATAATGTTAAGGCACTTCTAGAGCCAACAAGGAGGAAAAGACCCTACAAACATCCCCACCCCCACATTCCACTTGAATTAAAATTTTAAAAAAAATAAATAAACAAAATACTAGGCACAAGTAGTTAGGGGGAGAGAAACTATTCCACACTGGGATACACAAAAATCAGGAGGGAAAGAATTCTGGAAGAAGTAAAAGAGCCAAAGGGCCATACACCTTCATAGGGTGAAATGAAGAACTAGTCTGTACTCTAACATCAGGCATGAACATAGTTTAAAGAAGGTAACATGATTTAAAGCTGCATGTCACACCCTGAGCAGAGAGATTATGAAATTATAGAGGCATACTGACAAACTAGACAAAATAAAAGCAGTACACCCTCATTTAAAACAATTTGATTCAAATGTATTTTTTTGTGGCTGCATTATAAGAACATTTTTCTATTAACTATAGGATAAATACTTATAATAGCATTAGTCTTTCAATTTCAATCAGCCATGTTGAGGTTCTGGGGTGTTTTTCTGGAACCGTTTTATTTTTTTAGGTTTCTGCTAAGATGCTCAGGGAACTTTGCAATATGTTGTCAGACAGCTTTACAGTGACACAGAATGATCCTTCATAAGAGGCTGCACAGGTACATAAGAACAAGGCCTCTCCCAGGCTGTTAGGAATTTTAAGGCTTTGTAGGTGTTAAAATTTTAAACTATAGCAATGATAAGGGACAATTTTTAAAAAATTAAGTTTGTTTATTCGAGGGATTACAAACAGGAAGAGTTATCTATTATATCTAAAGCATATCTTTAGGGATATAATTCAAGAATTTTTTCCCATTATTTCTAATAAGAAGGTAAAATGATATTGAAATTATTTTCAACTATTCTGTGGCCAAATGACTCTTCTCCCATTCACTTCAAATTCTATAAACTGTACAACTATAGTATGTAAATACCAATCTTTGAAGTCTTTCTGGTCCAGAGAGAAATCCAGAGGGTCGTGAACTAGATTTGGTGACACCTACATAATTACTTTATTTACTTAAAAAGTACTTATTCTGTGCCCTATTGATACACAAAACACTGAATTAGTGCTGGCTATATATATTTTGTGAACAAGGTAACATTATAAAGCCATTATTTGTCACTATTTATAAATCTTCTAACTTGTAATGGCGTTTGTTCTTTGCAAGGTGGGGGCAAGGATAAAAAGAAGAGATTCAAAAGAGTTGACAGTTTGCAGAATGAAACGGACAGAATAAAGAATGGTAAAAATACAGGAGTAGATTCTGCAGGAAAACTAGAGGGATCTACGCTTAAGAACTATGGCTCTATTTTCTCAGCATAGACTTGGAATGGTAAACAGAATATACAGACACAAAGACTCTAAATAGCCTTGCATTTCCAGCCCTCAACTTTCCCCAAAGGTTGGAAAGCAAACATGGGACATTTGCAAAGAACAGGAGATGGATATTACCTGTTTGTGGTGCTCAGAGTTGGCTGCCGCTTGCTGTGAGTGGAATGCAGAGTAGAGATTTCAAAGGGGCAGGTAGAAGGCCCATGCTGGCTCCAAATGGATAGCACTCGGCCCACCGAGTAGGGCAGAGAACAGAAGACCTTGTCTGCTATGGAGGCTGGAGATCTTAACCCTTTTAAGCCCTGTGTAAATTGGGTCATGAAGAGCCTCTGCATTGTAGGCATGTGACTGGAGAAGCTCCGTTTTTTTGTCCAGATTCGGTAACATCCAGGAGAACAAAGTGCTAGAAGCGTGTGAAGCCCAAGGACAGAGCAGCTTGCTCTGTTCTGGACTATGGCGGTGCCTCCATAGTCTTGGAGAGGACCTGGAGGCTGTGAAGGAGCCTGGGCATATGCCTGACCATGGGGGCCAGTGTGTTCCCTGAATGTGGCCATCCCAGGGCAACTGTGGGATAAGAAGAAAGAAAAGGTCCATTTGGGAGGTTGAGACAGGCACCTGGGGGCCTCTTCTAAGGCGAGCCTGGCTGGAGCACAGTGCTCAGGAAAAGTCCTTGGGGACTCAGTCATGCACTCAGAGCCTGATTTCATGTGAAAAGATACTGGGAAAATTTCGGAACCAAATAGCAGTGATGGCACCTTGTTGCTCAAATCTACGAAGCTCATTTTGATGGCTTCAAGAGAATAAAGTGTCAAGGGCTTACTGTTAGGCCTCTTATCCCATCCACTAGCTGCCAAATATGGATTCAGCTGCGTTGTATTGTAAGAAAATCCATCCAGAAACCTCTTGTATCTGAGCCGCTTGTAGCTTTTAGCCACTGGAAGAAGTTCAGAGGAACATCGCCGATATCTTGGTTTCTGGGTCTTTGTGGCTGGGACCAGTCTGGAGGCAAGAATGGACAGCTTGTTGAGTAAGGCTGATTCTTTGGTAAGCTTCCTAACATTCAGGCTCCTCAAGGGATGGCACGGAGTCACCTTCTGCTTTGGTACGTGGCTAATTAAGCTCCTGGTTGGTACTGTTTCAGGTTCCAATTGTGCAGGTGCAGACACAGCACATGAATTAAGAAATCTGTGTGCTTTTGTGGGGATGGTTTCAGAAGAACTCTTTAAAAACACAGAACTTCTGATTTTACTTATATTTTTCCCAATGTTGACTTGCTCCTGATAAGAAATTTTCTTACATGTTCGATGGGGCTGCTTCTTTAAGGGAAGCACTCTTTTCTGATATGAAGTGTTCCCAAAGGCACCGTGTATTTCATCACATCCAGCAGAGTTGGGGTCTTGTGCTTTCTGAGGGGTGCCACTAAGGCAAGGATCTGTGCACGATGCCATGTCTGTTTTTAATGGATAGCACAAACTTTCCTCCTTTGGATTTTCCAGCTTTTGAAACTGTGCAGCAGTGCTGCCCTTGTCCAGCTTTGCTAGGGGGATTTCCTTCATCGTGGTGGACTCATCATTGCAATCCTTAGTTTGGTTCTTATCTTGCATTTCATCTGACAACATATTCAATGTTTCACACCGTCCCAATATTGTGTGTGCTTCTTTTTGATGTACACATTCCTCTTCATTTTGCAACATGTAGTTCAAAGCCCTCTGGCTTTGTTGCTCTTCAGTATCACCAACCATCCTCTGAGATTTAGAGTGGGTCTGAGAAGTCTCTCTCTGTTTATTATTGTGACCAGCTTCTCTGGTAATCCTCTCCTCAGACTCTTCCCTGACAGTTAAGTAACCCAGGGGTCCCCTCTGATGTTCTTCAGTTTCTTCTCCTTTCAACTTAGTTTCTGTTTCCATTGTCAAAGGCAAATTTTGCATACTGCTGTCTATTCTGATTCCTTTACTAGAATTACTCTCATCCCCTGGTGCTCCTTTGTTTGCCTCAAGCAGGACTGTGCAGTGCTCTACGTTTTCACAAAGGATTTTATCATCTTTTGGTTTAAAAAGATTTTTCAGCTCAGTTTCTCCACTATTAACGTTACTTTCTGAATTTTCTTGAGAAAACAGATACAAAGGCATTGTCTCAACAGATTTCAGGCTCACTATGGGAACAGGGTTCTCATCTGGGCATCCAGAAGACAGTAACTCTTCTGAGGAAATTCTGAAGGTATTTTCCTTATCAAACTCAAAATTTATTTTCAGTCTTGATCCTTCAATTATTCCTTGTGTTTCTTTCTGGGATGCTTCTTTAATTTGCTGTTCATGACGAATATAATCTAAGGACACATTTATACTATTCAATGTTTTTGTATTTGGTTGATGACCTGCAATAGACTCTATCTCATTGGCACAAGTGTCGGGACACATTTCCACTTCACAACCTTTTAATGATCTGCATACTTTCTTTTCACATGATTTTTTAATTTCCAGAGGCTCTACTAAAGACGAAGTAGCATCTGGAAAATCTGAGTCCTGGTCCATCATTCCAATAAATGCAGCATCCAGTTTTCCTCTCTGAGGCAGAGTATTCACTGAGGTATCCTGTAACGTCAGTGTATCTTGTCCTGCACCACCAACAAGGGTACTAGATGCTTGTAAGTCCAAAACGCTTTCTGTAGACTGATTACTACAGTCTGTGTAGACGATGTCTACCATACCATCTGTGGACTCCTCACAACCAGAAATATGTCCAAAGTCTCCTTTCAAATCGCCTTTCTTTGAACTACCACTAGACAATGGGTTGTTACTGCCTGAACCAACTAACAGATCTTTTTGATTGTGGCTTATCTCTCTGTTAGGTTCTGTGACAGTCTCTCTCTCATCACCATGTAGTGTCTCCTTAGCTGGTTTATCTTCACTTCTGGATTCATCTGGTCTGTTCTGGTTACTCTGGGTATCAAGAACTTTATCTTCTTTTTGATCAAGAGTTTCAATTGCTTGGCTCATGTTTCTGAAACTGGAGAACATAATCATAAGAGACTGGTCCAAAACTTTTTCAGGGCTTGGAATGTTTGCAGGTAAGTTTAGTTGTGGTGTGGAACAGTCAGAGATGTTATACTTGCAAAACACAGTCCCTTTTGGTATATCCCTTCCCTCTCTTTTCAGACCTTCCTCACAGGGTTGGGTATGACTGGTGGTGGGAATGGTTTTGTCTGAAGCTTCACTATTTAACATGCCTACTGCCAAATTGTTTCTGATCTTATTTCCTGGGAGGCTGCCTTTAGTTTCTCCCCCAGCAAGTTCATTTTCTTCCAATGTGTGACCCACTTTATGGGTGCTACTTTCCGAGGAGTCTTCTCTTCTTTGGGAGTGGTCACTGCTGTGTTGAAATGCATCTTCACACTTGGTTATTAAAGAGTTTTCAACTTCTGGGATGACACGGATGGACTCAAATGCAGCACAAGCAGAACACATGCTCTTTTCTGGTGCGTTTTTATTTACACAATGACAGCTAGCGAGATCCTGAGACTGAACACTTCGACATTCCATAGCAGAGACCTCTTGAGGTAAGGCTGCTGCTTCTTTCTTACTTGAGAGAAGGCTGGAATGTAGATCTACAATTCCTGAATCAGCCATTTTGTCTTTTCTTTCTAGGCTTCCTGGTTTGATGTTTAAGGTGGGATTGTTTGAAGAGGCACCACAGGTTCTGTCACCTGATGGAGAGATGTCTTTCATTTTTGTTTTGATGGGAATGGTCTGGGTGTCAGCAATGACATCTGCTCCATCCTCTAATGGAGGGTGATGGCTCTGCTGGGAATCCTCGCTTGTTGCTAAAGGCATCTCTTTGTTAGCTGGCAACTTTGCGTGGTCTTGAGAATTAAGGGGCACTTGATTTAAAGCACATTCATTTTCTATTCTGTTTATAACCAGTTCATTGGTATGAGGAAGTTCATTCATCTCACAGGCAGTGTTCTGCTTATCTAAATGTGAACTACCATCCAGTGGGGTCTGTATAGCTTGCTCTGACTCAGGTCTGTAATCAAATTCTAGGGATAGTGGTAACTGAGCAATATCTTTCTTGAGTTTTGATACCTCATCCATAGGACTTATCTGGTCCTCTGGCATTAAACTCACAAGGGATTTTCTTTCATTCAGAAATTTATTATATGATGCTTCATTTAACCGGGTGTTGCCTTCCAGATTTTCCTGGGTGCAGACTAAGGAGTTAGAGTCTTTACTGTAAATCTTTTCAGTTACCATATTGGGCTCTATAGTGGTTGTCGGTTCTGGCTCTTCAATCTGCATCAAGGAGGAAAAACTGCTCTCTTCAGAGTGTCTGCCTGGATGGCTCCTATCAGCAGAAGTTTCTCTATGGTCCTCATGGTTTGTCAAGCCACCTTGAGTGTCTAAAGTGATTTTTAAATCATTTTTTTTTAACATTACTTCTGTGGCTTCGGTAAAAGAATCGGGCACTAAAGAATCAGGGCTGTCCATACGGATACTGCCTTGAATGCAACAGTTACCATGAATATTCACTTTTGGGGAGGCAACAGTCTCTTTCTCACCAGGACAATGACCATTAGCATCCTCTTCTGGTTGCCTGGCATTAACAAGAAAGAGTTCCCCTCTTTCACTCCTGAGGTTCAAAAACTGTTCATTTTCTCTTCTAGTAGCCAAGTTCTTGCCTTGATCACTCCCATCAAAACAGGAATTGTCTGTCTTCTTAGCAGATCCTTTCAGCAAGCCATCACCTTCAAAGCCACATGTTTCTAAGCATGTTGTTTTGGATTCTGGACCGGACAAACTTGATGAGAAATATGAAATGTCAGAATTTTTTTCTAAGGGTTCTACGAAAACTACATTTCTTGTGGCCTTGGGGCTGCCATGGGCAAAACTGTGGTTTTCATTATGGTGGCCAAGAATCTGTTGGTGATTGTCATCTGCTTCACAGACAAGGTTTAACTCTTCCTTTTCATTGTCCACTTTGGAAATGGCACTGTTCCCTGGTAATAATGACAACCAAGAAGGACAAGTTTTTAATTCTTCACATTCTTTTTCTTTAGAAGATGATTCTGTTAATCCAGGGTCCACCAAGGTTAAAGGCTCTAGGGAAACTAATGTGCTGGTTTCTGAAACCTTGCCACTGGTCATGATTTTGTCTACTTCTGGGTATTCGCTGCACCCAGCTGAGAGACCTTTACTCACATTGCCATTCTTGTGTCCTTCATTATAATCCGCCTTAGTCCCATTGACCTTCATACCTTGTACTTCTTCAGTAGATATAAGCAGAGTTCCAGTTGTAATTTGTACATTTCCGTCTGCCCAAGAGAAATAAATCCAAATAAGTGTGCAATCATAAAAATAAATCATGTGGTACATAACTTCATTAATTTAATCATGCAACCAACAGCGACAAAAAAGACCCAACTCAAAAAGCAAATTACAAAGTTAGTTCACCGTACCATTGGTTTTGTTCTTTTATGCAAAATATGACATAGGGCCAAGAGTGTACTTGGCAGAAAATAGCTAATTTTGAACTAACACTCTTCTCTTAGTATTACTTATTTAAACGTATTTACATACTTTAATAATTAAATACAATATGGAGACATATACATAATCCAGAGTCCTAAGAAGCTTCCATTCTAAAACATTAATAAAGTGGACACACAATAATAGCTTATATTATTCAATGACTATCTTATTACTTGAATAATACTAAATTAATCATAAATTACCTCCTTAAAAAAGAACAGTTATACATAAAACCTATGTTAAAGAGATTAATACGTAAGTTGAGTATTAGTTTTGAACCAAATTACTTACAGTAACTGCTTCCCTACAAGGCTGGTCATGAGCTGGTAATTATTGAAGCTGAATGACAGACATGTGGGTTTAGTATACTCTCTACTTCTCAATAAATTAAAAACTTTCTATTATGAAACATTAAAAAACAAACAAAAAACCTTTCTAAGAATGTAAATTCAATTCATAAAGAAGTTTTACTGTACAGTTTCTCTGAAATCCTAGATGTAAAATGCATTATGAAGTTCCCTAAACTTGTTAAACTACAAAAAAAATTTTTTTCCTTGTGCTTTTTAGAAAGCACACACACACAAAAAGTTATACATGTAAATATGTACATATGCATGCATACACATATATAACAAAAATACCTGCACTAAACAGATAAAGCTAAATGCAAATCAATCTTCAACTTAAAGAGCTAATTCTCATTAGAATATAAACTCCATGAGGGTAAGGGTCATGTTTATCTTGGTCTCTCTTTTTCCCAATTGCTCAGCATAATACCTGGTATATAATAGCACTCAAAAAATCTGTGGAATTAATAAATAAATACAGATAGGTTAAACCAACAAATGCTATCACCATTGTCTTCCTAGAGCTTCCTTATCCATTTCTTAACTGATACTGACAGCAGCAATTCTGAGAGACAGAAAAGGAACTCTAAAGGCAGGTGGGCTCTGTGATCTTACTTACCTCTCTGAGTCTCAGTTTCCTCCTTTGAAAAAGATGAGAAGTACACTTAACTCAAGTGCTACTTTGAGGATTAAATTAAATAACACATGTAAACCACCACCTGGTACAGTGCCTGCCATTTAAAGAAAAACTGCTCTTCCTTTGTTCTGCTTTCTTTCTTATCTTATTGGACCTGAGAATGGTTAAAATTATAAACTCAATAACTATGCTAGGACAGGACACAGTGTCTAAAAATATTTGGAGTTAGCAAATACTCAATGGATAAATGCATATTGGATTCCACAAGTCTGCAGAGATTCCAAAAACATAAACAGCCTCAAAATCCTAATGCCCTACACGGTACTTGTCTTTTTGAAACCAGCCTACTTTCCACATCATAGCAGACAATTCTATCCTATTTATGACTTTCTAACTGCATTTACCCTAAATGGTTTAGTGTATCTCTTCCCCAGACACTATGGCATTCATTAAGCCATTTGTGTAAATTCTGGGCCTTCTACTCTGTTCCAGCACCATCTTAGTTGAATCCTTCATTATAACTTCTCAGGAAAACTGCAAAACTCTTGCCCCCTCTCCAAAGTGATAACTGTGCAAAGCCCTTATGGCAAGATTCTCCCTCAGAGCTCTTACCTGCTGAAAGAATACCTGTCCTAAACTTAGTTGAAAATCTTAGGGAGGGGGTAGGGGAACACTCATTTTCCAGGTGCTATAACACTGAAAGCTGGCTGGGGTACAGGGGTTGTGTACTGCTTGAAAACAAAAGGACTGCTTACTCTTTTACTTGATTGACTGATTGATTGATTGTTTGGGGGGGGGGGAGAGGGCACGGACAGAGGATATGGGGCTTGAACTCACAAACGATGAGATCATGACCTGTGCTGAAGTCAAATGGTCAACCAATGGAGCCACCCAGGTACCCTTCTTTTACTTGTTTTCTTTTTTCATCTGGAGATTTTTTTTTAAGTTTATTTATTTTGAGAGAGAGAGAGACAGAGAGACAGAGAGACAGATAGGCAGACAGTGGGACAGGAGCAAAGAAAGAGGGAGAAAGAGAATCCCAAGCAGGCTCTGTGCTGTCAGCGCAGAATCTGATGCGGGGCTTGAACTCATGAACCACACGATCATAACCTAAGCTGCAGTCAGACACTTAACTGACTGAGCCACTACTCAGGTACCTTCTTTTACTTGTTTTGTAATTAACCACATTGACTGAAATCTCAAAGCATTTTATTTCATTTTATTTTATGTATTTATTGACACACACAAAGACAGACAGGGGAGGGGCAGAGAGAGAGAGAATCTCAAGCAGGCTCCACATTGTCAGGGCAGAGCCGGATGTGGGGCTTGATTTCACAAACCACGAAATCATGACCTGAGCCAAAATCCAGTATCAGATGCTTAACTGGCTGAGCCATCCAGGCACCCACAGAAACAGGATCTTAAAGATCACTGTGAACCAAGTACCCAGCACTGACCTTGGCACATATCAGGTACCTGACAGATGTTGTCAGAATGAAGAATGAGAGGGTTAGGGAAGTTATTCAAAGTATTAGGTGTACTCCATCCAGAAACTTCACTTCTCAGTATATATTTAAAAGAAATGAAATCACTATTCTGAAAAGATAGCTATACCCCCATGTATACTATGGCATTATTTACAGTGAGTGAGAGACATGGAAACAACCCTAAGTATCCACTGATGAATGAATGGATAAAGAAAATATGGCTCATTTAAAAAAAAAAAGTACTTAGATATTCTGGAGGGTGAAACACGTATTCTGTGAGGTATGGGCCCATCTTAGACTAACAGGCATTTCATGACCTCAGCTGAAGATCCTAGACTTGTAGTTTTATAACCACTTAAAAAGTGTGTATGTTTGCAGAAATTGACAAACTAATCCTGAAACTAAAAAAAAAAAAAAAAAGCAAGGGAGGGGCACCTGTGTGGCTCAGTCAGTTAAGCATCCAACTTGGGCTCAAGTCATTATCTTGCGGTCTGTGAGTTGCAGCACCATGTCGGGCTCTGTGCTGAAAGCTCAGAGCCTGGAGCCTGCTTCGGATTCTGTTTCCCTCTCTCTCTGTCCCTCCCCTGCTCACAATTTGTCTCTCTCCTCAAAAATAAATAAATATTAAGCAATTTTTAAAAAAATACAAGGAACACATAATAGCCAAAACCATCTTGAAAAAGAGCTAAGATGGAAGACTCATGCTTCCTGATTTCAAAAACAAAGTTGCAGTAATGGAAACAGTCTGGCACTGGTACAGGACAGACATAAAGAGCAAGAGAATTAGAACTGTATGTCAGAAATAAACTGTTAACACATATAGTCAACTGATTTTTGACAAAGGGACCAAGAAGAGTAGCTTTTCAACAAATGGTGAATGGTTTCAGGGTAATTGGATACCCATATGCAAATGAATAAATTTGGACCCTGTCTTATACACAAAAATTAACTCAATGTAAATCAGAGACCTATATGTAAGAGCTCAAACTATAAAACTCTTAGAAGAAAACATAAGAGTATTTCTTAATGATCTTGGTAAAGATTTCTTAGCTAAGATGTTGAAACACAAGTGATAAAAAGAAGACTGATAAGTTGAACTTCATCAAAACTAAAATCTTTTGTGTTTCAAAGGAAAACCAAGAAGTGAAAAGGCAACCCACTGATGGGGGGAAAACAGTTGCAAATCATCTATCTGATAAAGGACCTATATTTAGAATATATAAAGAATTTTCACAACTCAGTAATAAAAATGGGCAGAAGGAGTTTAACTCCCCATTCCTTAGGTTCAGGGTGTACTTAGTGACTTAGTTCTCCAAAGAGAACAGTATGGAAATGGGGTGAAGGAAGTAACCTGACAGTAGAGAGAACGCTCACAAACTCTACTTCATGTTTATAGTACATGCCCTTTATATGATGTGATGAAAATGGCACTTTACCTCTGTGATTTTCTTCCCCCAAACCTATAACCCCAGTCTTATGATAAAAACAGAAGATAATCCTAATGGTGAGCCATTCTACAATATACCTGACCAGTAACCTTCAAAACTCTTAAGGTCTCCTCAAAACAAGGAAAGTGGGAGAAACTGTCACGGCCAAGAAGAGCCGAAGGAAACCTGAGAACTAAATGCAATATGGTATTCTGGATGGGATTCCAGAACAGGAAAAGGATATTAGGTAAAAACTAAAGACATCTGAAAAAACTTTAATTAATACTAATGTATCAGTATTGTACAATAATAAATGTATTTACTAATACATTATCAATATAGGAAATTGTTCATGTTGGGGGTAGGGAGGTCGTGGTTAATGGAAACTCTATACTATCTGCTCAGATTCTCTGTAAATCCAAAATCCTCCAAAAATAATTATCTGAAAAGTTAAAAAAAAAAAGCGAAAGATATAAATAGACATTTCCCCCAAAATACACAAATGCACACTGAAAAATGTTCAACATCATTAGTCACCAGAGAAATGAAAATCAAAACCACAATGATACATGCATTAAAATGGATATAATTTAAAACAAAACAAATCAGAAAATAACAAGTGTTGGACAGGATGCAGAGAAACTAGAACCTTCATCTGTTGCTGATGGGATTGGAAAATAGTTCAGCCATTTTGGAAAAGTTTGGCAATTCCTCAAAATGTTGAACAAAGTTTCCACATAACCCACCAATTCTATTCCTAGGTATCTATTCAAGAGAATTGAAACCTTATGTTCACGCAAAACCTGTATGCAAATACTGACAACAGCATTATTCATAATAGCCAAAGAGTTGGAAACAACCCAAATATCCATCGGATAAATGGAT